ATTTTGTTAAAAAAAATATATATATATATAAAATCGTGAATAAAAAGAAAAGGGAACACAAAACAAAATAACAAACCAGACATACAAATCAAATGGCGTTTTTAAATTTTTGATCAAATCGAGAGCCGAGTTTTTCTTCGGCAATTTGAACATAGTGTGCAAATACATAACAAAACCAAGCTGCCGGTTATGCAGAAAGTTATATGACGCACAAATTCGCACAAAATAACATTTTAAGCCAATTCAACCACTAGCTAAATAATATTTAGTGTATTTAGTTAGTGTCTTAATTTAGCTTTTGCGCATTCAAGCAAATCGAACAATCGAGTTAATATCGATAACAAATCATTTAGAGCAATAGTACCATTCCTACTTTGAGGTTATTTTCATTAGTGAAAAACACCGACTAGCTCGTTCGCTAATGCCTAGCACAGTGGCCACACATACATAGAAACGTAGATAAACTTTACGCAACGTCTGTGGCCAAGCAGGTGGGGCAGGCGGATTGCCGAGCTAAAATATTTAACTAATTTCCAGTATTACATTTGCAGGTCTTATAGAAAGAAAGAGATAGAGAGGAAAATCGGGAGTGAGAGAGAACAGCGAGAAATTGTACGTACACATGGCAACCGCAGTGGCAAAAGTTGGAAAATCAGTTCACCGCATTTTTGTGGGCAATTTACCCTGGACGGTGGGCCACCAGGAGTTACGCGGCTATTTCAAAGAGTTCGGACGTGTTCTAAACGCCAACGTGATTTTTGATAAAAAAACCGGATGCTCCAAGGGCTACGGCTTTGTGAGCTTCAACAGTTTGCAGGCGCTCGAGAAAATCGAAAACGAACAAAAACACATATTGGAGGGCAATTATTTGAACATACAAAAGTCATAAATTCAATATAAATTTTAAATCCAACACATACGTACACACACACACTCATACATACACATACACGAACACTCACACACAAGCGAACAGATACACCCACATACACGCGCGCGCCCTTTCACTGAAAAGTAAAACAGTTTTAGTTTGATTCATTTGTTATTTCCACTTGCATTTAGTTAAGTATGTACGATAGTGACTTAGAAATTGACGATGAGGAAGAACACCAACAGGGAAAGGAACATGACAAGCTTTTCTCAGTGGCAACCGAACATGTAATGCACAAAGCGAATGTCTACGAAGCCAGAGATTTGCTTGAATTCTATGCATTATACAAGCAGGCAACGAGTGGGGCGTGTCACGGGCCTCGCCCGTCAATGCTGCAAATGAAAGCGCGCAGCAAGTGGCAAGCATGGCACGAACTAGGCGACATGAGCAGCGCCGATGCGCAGCGTGCGTATGTTGATAAAGTACACAAACTGGAGCCCAGTTGGTTGGATAACAATCAGATCATTGGTGGCACCGCAAGTGGTCGGACCGGTTGGGTGGTGCACTCTATTGAATCAGTGCCAATAGAAGAGACCAACAAGCCGGAGCAGCTGAAGACGTTATTTGACCATGTCAAGGAGAAGAACTTGGAGCGGTTGCGTGAGCAACTGAAGCCTGCGGATCTAATTGAATTGGACGAGCAAGGCATGGCCTTGCTGCACTGGGCAACCGATCGCAATGCCATTGAGATCATTGAGTTTCTGATCAAGCAAGGCGCCGACGTCGATCAGCGCGATGCTGAGCAACAGACGCCATTGCATTATGCCGCCAGCTGTGGCCATGTGGAGGCCCTGCGCTATTTGCTATCGTTGAATGCGAATATGGAGCTGCGCGATGTCGATGGCCAGACGTGCATCGATGTGGCCGATAATGTAGAGATTTGCAGCATACTAAAAACGGAGCTGCAGCTGCGCAACAAAAGGAGCTATTAAATTCATTACAAAAGTGCATATAACAAAAAATACATATTTCTGTTTTACTTTAATTAAAATTATATTGTGAGAAATTAAATTAGAATCGTAGTTGTTCAATGAAACTCGTTTTTATATTCATAGTTAAGGTTTACTTCCACAGCTTCTTGATGGACATGTTCTTCTCAGAGTCCTTTTGCATTACCTTGGCGACGGCCATTTCGAAATCTTCCTGGGTGACATGCACACGACGCTCGCGCAGTGCGTACATTCCAGCCTCGGTACAGACACCTTTGACTTCGGCACCTGATGCGCCAGGCATCAGTTCAGCAATTTTCCGTAGATTGATGCCGCGCGTTAAGTTCATTTTGCGCGAATGAATTTTCAAGATGTCCAAACGCGCTTCTTCGTTTGGTGGCGGGAACTCAATTTTGCGATCAATGCGGCCAGGACGAAGTAGTGCTGGGTCGAGTATATCAATACGGTTGGTTGCCATGATGACTTTGATGTTCTTGGTGGCCTCAAAACCATCCAGCTGATTGAGCAGCTCCAACATGGTGCGCTGCACCTCAGAGTCGCCGCCAGAGCCAGATTCAATACGCGACGAGCCGATCGAATCAATTTCATCCATGAATATAATTGATGGCGCATGCTCGCGCGCCATGACGAAGAGCTCACGCACCATACGTGAGCCCTCGCCAATGAACTTTTGAACCAGCTCGGAGCCAGAGACGCGTATGAATGTGCATTCCGTGTGATGGGCTACTGCGCGAGCGAGCAGCGTTTTGCCAGTGCCGGGCGGGCCATAGAGCAGCACACCCTTTGGCTGGGCAATACCTAAGGCGTCAAATAATTCGGGATGCTTGACAGGCAGCTCGATTACTTCCTTGATTTCCTTGATCTGTTTGTCTAAGCCGCCTACCATTTCATACGTGGAATCGGGAACTTTTTCGACCATCATAAGGGACACCAACGGATCCACTTTGTTGGGCAATATCTTGTGCAGAGTGTAACTTTCGTTGCGCAGTGCAACGCGACAATTTGGTGTTACATCGTTAATATCAATGTTCTTGTCCAAATCAACAACAAATTTACCCTCGGGATGGACCTTGACAAGCACCTTTTTCTTGTCCATTGGCTTCACAACCTCACCAACATAGCTGCCTTGTTCCTGCAACAGTTGCAACTCCTCTCGCAGCATTCGGACTACAAAATTACTTTTTTATATTATAACGCTTTATAATTTATTTTGTCTTTTATACCTTTAGCATTAAGCTCATTACGTTGTGCCTGTAATCGGCGTAGATTTTGACTTTTCTCCGCCACAATTAATTGCAGTTCCTCAATTTTTTGAATATAATATGAACGGAAGCCCACGCCAACATTGTAGACCGACTCCAAATCCACCTGAAATGCATTATTTTTTGTTGTTGTTTCTTGTGGAATATAGTTTACGAATTTTTACCCGATTTGTGAGTGTCATTTTGATAGTTATGTTGTGAATTGGTTTTCCACCGAGCGATTTTATGCGAGCTTCGCTAAAGTGTAAAACTTGCAAATTGCTTACAGCATTAACAAAGTGAATACGATTATGACTCGGCAAGTCTACCTTACTGTTAGTGCTGCAAAAATATCGTATCAGTATCGTTATAATCGATATTTTAGAATTTTAGGAAAACATCGATATGGTTTTCTTAGTAGCAGTACTAGTAGTATGATAAAGTCGCATGATAAAGCTTTTCTGATAAGTGTGTTTTCGTTGCGTGCTGAGCTTAAATAAAGTTGGTTAGTAGGTGAAATATATTCTTWTTGGCAATTCAAGCAATATTTCTCTCTTTCACTCTGACATGCCATCGCTTTGCAGATTGCTGTGATAATTATCGCTTATAGAATCGCATCGCTTATCGCGGCCACTCTGACATCAGGCATAGATAAGCATTATAAAAGATAATTTACAATTTATTGATATTTACAATAAGGTCTCGATATATCCCTATTATCGATATTTGCTCTCAAAGTATCGATACGACAACATATCGATATTTTCTCTCAACGCATCGATACTACAAAATATCGATACTTTGGCGATACTTTGGCTAGATCTGGGTTGCCAATATCACTGACCAGAGACACTAACCAGAGAACATACTGCTTGAGCCTCAAGAGACTGAGCCGAGCAAATACGAAGTTGTGTAGTCTCCTCAGCGCATTTTTTCGTCGGTGAAAAAATTTGTTCTAGATGTCTAGTCTATGTGTTCTCTGGTTAGTG